TATACCCTGTGCCTCCTGAATTGGTGTACATTTGAACAAGAGCCCCTATGTGATCCAGGTTTGGAAAGTAGTGTTCTACCACTTGTGGACAATAATAGTACAAATACTTGAGTTCCTATATGCCAGACAGAATTCTGTAGTGAATGAAAAGTTCTCTATTGAATTTATGTGTTGATAGAGCAGCAATACATGATAATGTGCGGTATTTGAAGAAAAGCAGGGTAAAAGAGGTATATGTGCTAGATGTTGAGGTCAGAGAAGAAAGCCATACTTATATTTGGCTTTTGAACTTAATAGACGTGACAGCATAGATTGTGTGGGGAAGAGAATTCCTGAATGGAATCAGAAATAGCAAAGTTGTGGATGAAGAGTGAGAAAGTCGGTCAGGGTCTGTGGTAGCCTTGTAGGTTATAGTTAGATATTGTGAGATTAGCATCCATTTGGAAACTTATTTTCGTAGAGGTGGGGTATTACTGTGCTGTCCAGGTTAGTCTGAACTCTTGGGATCAAGTGATCCTCCTGCAGCCTCCCAAATAGCTGGGACAACAGGTGTGCACTACTGTGCCCAGCAGAGAACTAAGTTCTTAAGAACCAAACATATTTCAGTGAGGCAGAGGTAGAAATAAAGCTATTGCAATAGTCTAGGCAAGTGATTTTGGCTTGCATTAGGATAGATGGGAGTGGTTGAGATAGTCACTACTTTTTTTTTTTTTTTTTTTTTTTTAGACAGGGTCTTGCTCTATCACCCAGGCTGGAGTGCAGTGGTGCACTGCAGCCTCAATCTCCTGGGCTCAAGCTATCCTTCCACTTCAGCCTTTTGAGCAGCTGGGACTACAGGTGTACACCACCATGCCAGGATAATATTTTGTGTTTTTAGTAGAGACGGGGTTTGTTGTCCAGGCTGGTCTTGAACTCCTGGGTTCAAGTGATCAGCCTGCCTTGGCCTCCCAAAGTGGATTACAGGCGAGTGCCACTGCAACCAGCCTTACCGTGGGAGACAAGGTTTGTTGAAGGAACCGATATGGGAGATAGGAGTAGATAATGACTCCTAGGGGCTGGGCGTAGTGGCTCACTCCTGTAATCCCAGCAGTTGGGGAGGCCTAGGCGGGAGTATAGCAAAAATTTAAAAGAGAAAATTAGCCGGGTGTGGTTGTGCATGCCTAGCTACTTGGGAGGCTTGTGCCACTGCACTCTACCTGGGCAACAGAATGAGACCCAGTCTAAGAATGACTCCAAGGATTTTGGCCTGAGCAACTGGAAGGATAGAATTACTGTTCAGATAGGTCTTCCCAGATTTGGGAAGAATAGAAAGTTCAGTTTGGACATGTTGACTTTGAGACATGTCTTATACATCCAAATAGAATCTGTTTTAAGCAGAGAGTGAGTGATCAACTATATTGTGTGCCTCTGATTAAGACAGAATTGGTAACCCCAGTTTCATCTGAGAGGAGGGGAAGTGTGACAGAAGAGAAGCTGGAATGAGCATCTTAACTGGCTGCAGCTAAATTATCTTTGCCAGTTTTTGTTTGTTTGTTTGTTTGTTTGTTTTGAGATGGAGTTTCGCTCATGTTGCCCAGGCTGGAGTGCAGTGGTGTGATCTTGGCTCACTGCAACCTCCGCCTCCTGGGTTCAAGCAATTCTCCTGCCTCAGCCTCCTGAGTAGCTAGGATTACAGGCATGTGCCACCATGCTCGGCTCGTTTTCTATTTTTAGTAGAGACGGGGTTTCTCCGTGCTGGTCAACGGCTGTTCTCGAATTCCAGACCTCAGGTGATCTGCCCATCTCAGCCTCCCAAAGTGCTGGGATTGTAGGCATGAGCCACCGCGCCCAGCCTTTTTTTTTTTTTTTCTTTTGAGATGGAGTGTTGCTCTGTTGCCTGGGTTGGAGTACAGTGGCATGATTCCAGCTCACTGCAACCTCTGCCTCCTGGGTTCAAGCGATTCTCCTGCCTTAGCCTGCCAGGTAGCTGGGATTACAGGCATCTGCCAGCGTCTGGCTGATTTTTTGTATTTTTAGTAGAGGCAAGGTTTCACCATGTTGGCCAGGCTGCTCTCGAACTCCTGACCTGAGGTGATCCACCTGCCTCAGCCTCCCAAAGTGCTAGGATTACAGGCATGAACCACTGCACCTGGCCGCCAATTTTTTGAAAACATAATTGAACGCATTCCTGGTATGTTTCCCTTAGAAGGAGCTTGTAGAAGATAGGGACACTGGAGCTTAAGTTTCATAAGCTTCATAGTAAATCCACCTATGCGCCTAACCCTGAACCCCAGGTGTATGTGATGATAAAGTTGGTGTTGGGGAAGAGTCTAGGAAAGAACCAGGTTTCAGTCTGGGTAAGGAGGTGGGAAGAATATTGGGAGATGAGGTTGAGGATGTAAAAAACATTTATTGGTAATGGGATGAGCTGGTATTGCAGATAGAGTAGATGAGAAGCTGTGTCAGCTAAGCAAATGTAAAAAAAGTTTGGGAGATGTTGAGAGAAGCTTACATATGTAGTGGTAAGTTAGGTCCACAAAGGTGTGAGATGTGTTTGATTTGGTCATGAGAGTCTCTTGGATGAGCTGGGCTCTGGTCTAGTGGGATGGCCTGGTGTAAATTCCGTAAGAGACGTGCAGTGCCTTAGGTAATGGAAGGGAAATACCTCCTAGCCAGTCCTATCCCTGTGCGTACATGGTGGTAGTAAGTGGGAAGGCTGCTGTGGATAGGTGGTCTGGCTTTTCTAGTAGGGGTTGAATAATGCTTACTTGATAAATATTCTGTTTTAAAATTTGTCATGTGCCAGACATTATGCTAAGTGCTTTATGCACATTGCCTTTTTCAAGTCTTGGAGTACTTTTCAGTAGATGTTATCATCATTACATAACCAAGGAAACTGAGGCTTAGAGATTAAGTAATTTTCAAGGTCTCCCAAAGAAAGAGACAAAATGACTGGAACTGGGTCTGTCTGACATCAGTGCTTATGCTCTTAATATTCATAACACACTTATTGTAAGGTTAAAGGACTGTGCATCTCTTATTCCCAAAGATCACTTACTTACTTGAGGGCAGGAGTAAATGTTTCCTTTCATATTTACATGTATACCAAGCACATAGCAAGATGCCTTGTAGATTAATAGGTCCTCATTTGTTGGGGAATTGAACTAAATTGCCTAGTAAAAGCTCAATAAGTGTTGATGGCAAAAGATAGTAGGTGCTATAGGAGAGGCCCAAACAACCATTGGAACATAGAGGATCTATTCTTTCTTTTTCAAAATTTATTGTAGAGACAGGGTCTTGCAGTGTTGCCCAGGTTGGCCTTATACTCCTGGCCTCAAGTGATCCTCTTGCTGGGACTACATGTGTGAGCCACTACTCTGGCAGAGGATATATTCTTAGGTTTGGATTCTGTCTTAGTGTCTTTGGGCCACTGTAACAAAATCAAGTAGACTGAGTGGCTTAAATAACAGACATTTATTTCTCACAGTTCTGGAGGCTGGGAAGTCCGAGATGAAGGTGCTGGTAGATTTCATGTCTGATGAGAGCTGTTTCCTGACTCATAAATGGTGCCTTCTCATTGTGTCCTTACATGGTGGATAGGGCAAATGAGCTTTCCTGGGCTTATTTTATAAGGGGACTAATCCCATAAGGGTTGACCTCTCATGGCCTAATCTCTGTCCAAAATGCCCCACCTCCTAGAACCCATAGGCTAGGTTTTCAACATGTGGATTTTATGGGGAACACAAACATTTTGGCTATGGAATCTCCTTTAATACAACAACTCCCTGAGGTACAGTTCCCATTTTACAAGTGAGGTGACTGAGGCACAATGAATAAGTAACTTTCCCAAGATTGTATAACTAGTAAGAGAGATTCAACCAGGTAGTGTGTCTTGAAAACTGCTCTTACCACTAAACTGTAAATGTTCAACAAAAAGTGAAAGCTGACTGGGCGTGGTGGCTCACACCTGTAATCCCAGCACTTTGGGAGGCTAAGGCGGGTGGATCACAAGGCCAGGAGTTCGAGACCAGCCTGGTCAACATGGTGAAACCCTATCTCTGTTAAAAATACACAAATCAGTTGAGTGTGGTGGTGTGCACCTGTAATCCCAGCTACTTGGGAGGCTGAGGCACAAGAATCGCTTGAACCTGGAAAAGGAAGGTTGCAGTAAATCAAGATCATGCCACCGTACTCCAGCCTGGGAGACAGAGTGAGACCCTGTCTCAAAAAAAAAAAAAAAAAAAAAGTGAAAGCTTTGGTAAATATTGGTAGTCTACAAAATTGCCGAAAGAAATAATTTTTTATAAAAAGTGAAAGATTGTATATGTGCTACAATTTTATTATGTTAAACTACACAGGGAAAAAAAATCAGAAGGAAACATGTCATTATGTTAGCAGCATTTGACTTTGGGTGATGTGATTTAAGATTTGATTTGCAGCAGTGTCTGATTAAGACTCATTTAGAGATTGAGTATCCAGAGACTGCAGTATATAATGTCCCTGGTACCAATATTGCTAGCGAGGCTTCTGCTCCTCCTAAAACAGCTCATTCTATTTTTAGATTGCTTTGATAGTAAGGTTTTTCTTAGGTTGCTATGATTTCGTTCTACTGATTTTGACTGATACTCATTGATACTAATTCTGTGTTGTCCTGTACAAACCAAGTGTAATCTCTGCAAAAAAAAAAAAAAAAAAAAAGGGGCTAAATATTTAGGCATGAAGGCTCTCATATATTCCTAGAATCTTCTTATTTCCAGTATAACCATCTCTGATTATTTCAACTGTTTCTCTAAGACATGATTTAGAGTGATCTTTGGTGTTCTCTGAATTAATTCCACTCAATCTAGATCCTGATAGTGACATAACATGTTTCACAGGGCAGGCATGCAGTAAAAATTTATTGAATTTGGTTGGGCATCATTGCTTTTTCACTTTTTCTGGGTCCTCTTTTACCATTACAGAAAGACCTGAGCTCTTTTCTTTGGCACTAGCCTATGGAGGTGACACCCATCTCCTCCATCATGGCCATCCTCAGACCCCTTGTGAAGCCCAAGATCGTCAAAAAGAGCACCAAGAAGTTCACTGGGCACCAGTCAGACTGATATGTCAAAATTAAGTGTAACTGGTGGAAACACAGAGGTATTGGCAACATGGTTCATAGAAGGTTCGAGGGCCAGATCTATGCCCAACATTGGTTATGGGAGAAACAAAAAAAAAAAGACAAAGCACATACTGACCAGTGGCTTCTGGAAGTTCCTGGTCCACAATGTTAAGGAACTAGAAGTACTGCTGATGTGTAACAAATCTTACTGTGTTGAGATCACTCATGATGTTTCCTCCAAGAACTACAAAGCCATCTTAGAAAGAGCAGCTCAGGTGGTCATCAGAGTCACCAATGCCAGTGCCAGCCTACACAGTGCAGAAAGTGAATAGACAGCGAATGTGTTTGTTTTATTGGGATTTAAATAAAACCAATAAAACTGTAAAAACAAAAACAACAAAAACCAGAGACCCTGCCTTTTAGACAGTTATTTGTGTGGCTAATGCCCCCAACAGTTTTATTTTTTTAAATTTTATTATGTATTGTTTTTGAGATGAAGTCTGGCTCTGACTGGAATGCAGAGGATGTAAGCTCAGCTCACTGCAACCTCCACCTCCCAGGTTCAAGCGATTCTCCTGCCCCAGCCTCCCAAGTGGCTGGGATTACAGGTGCCCACCACCACACCTGGCTAATTTTTGTAGAGATGGAGTTTTACCATGTTTGCCAGGCTGGTCTCGAACTCCTGACCTCAAGGGATCCTCCCACCTCAGCTTCCCAAAGTGCTGGGATCACAGGTGTGTATTAGTTCATTTTCACACTGCTGATAAAGACATACCCAAGACTGGGAAAAAAAAAATAGGTTTATTGGATTCACAGTTCCAAGTGATTGGGGATGCCTCACAATTATGGTGGAAGGCGAAAGGCACTTCTTAGATGGCAGCGGCAAGCGAGAAATGAAGAAGACATGAAAGCAGAAATCCCTTATAAAACCATCAATTCTCGTGATACTTATTCACTACCACGAGAAAGTATGGGGGAAACGCTCCCATGATTCAGTTATCTCCCACCGGGTCCCTCTCACAACATGTGGGGATTATGGAAGTACATTTCAAGATGAGATTTGGGTGGGGACACAGAGCCCACAAACCGTAATCAAGGCATAAGCCACCATGCCCGGCCTTCAACAGTTTTAAAGCAGACTGCTTGCATAACCTCTGCTAGGATATCATTCTTTAAAACTATCTTTAATGGTAATTGGTATATTAGGGATTTGGGTTTAGGTAGGCAGAGAAAAAGCACTTCTAGTAGTACGATTAAGAAGGGTATAATAAAGTATTTTAATTTCCTCAATATCCACAAAAATTGAAAAAAAGAGGCCAGGCACAGTGGCTCATGCCTGTAATCCTAGCCTTTTGGGAGGTTGAGGCAGGAGGATCGTTTGATGCCAGGAGTTCCAGATCAGTCTGGGCAACATCAGGAGACCCCATATCTACCAAAATTAAACAAAAGTACCCCAAAACAATTAGCCAGGCGTAGTGGTGCATGTCTGTAGTCTCAGCTACTCAGGAGGCTGAGGTGAGAGGATCACTTGAGCCCAAGAGGTCCAGGTTTCAATGAATCGTGTTTGTACCACTTTAAAAAAAAAAAAAAGGCTGTACTATTAGCTGGTTCTCAGGAAGGTTAATGTAGAACATAAAAGGCTCAGTTTGTAATATGTGTGTGTAGGAATCAAGGCTATACAGGGTCCAAAAATTAGCCTAGCTTATGTGTGCTAGTTCCAGTTATCTTCTATCTTTTAGAATTTTAAAAGAATAGAGGCAGAAAGTCACAAGCTTAATCTAGATGAGGTAATTATCATTTAATGTCTTGAACATAAAGTCATTTGCTAAATTAGAATTTTTTTTTTTTTTTTTTTTTTGGACATGGCCTTGCTCTGTCACCCAGACTGGCGTTTAGTGGCACAAACATGGCTTATTGCAACCTCAACCTCCTGGGCTCAGTAATCCTCCTACCTCAGACCCCAAGTAGCTAGGACCGTAAGTGTGCACCACAATGCCCAGCTAATTTTTATAAAATTTTCCATAGAGATGGAAGTCTCACCATGTTGCCCAGGCTGGTCTGGAACTCCTGGGCTCATGCAATCCTCCCTCCCTGGCCTCCCAAAGTGTTGGGATCACAGGGGTGAGCCACTGTGCTCAGCCAGGAAATAATTTAGAGAAGCCAGAACTGGCTTCCTTTGGTGAAACTCCTTTTGTTAAATTCAGCCTATTATGTATGTCGATGGTGACCACACTTTGAGCAGATTCTAGACTAGACCTTCTGACTGCTATAAACAAATGGTGGATTCCCATTATTAGTTTATGGGACAGAAATATTGAAGGCCTGTAGAACTATAATGCCTTCCCCTTCTTCTTTCACTCACCCACTTCATTGCTCCTATTAGGCCCCTTAGAAAGAGATCCCTGATGCCAGGTACAGTGGCTCACACCTGTAATCCCAGCACTTTGGGAGGCTGAGGCGGGTGGATCACCTGAGGTCAGGAGTTCAAGACCAGCCTGGCCAACATAGTGAAACCCTGTCTCTACTAAAAATACAAAAAAATTAGCCAGGCATGGTGGGAGGTGCCTGTAATCCCAGCTACTCGGGAGGCTGAGGCAGGAGAATGGCGTGAACCCGGGAGGCAGAGCTTGCAGTGAGCGGAGATCGCGCTGCTGCACTCCAGCTTGGGCGACAGAGCGAGACTCCGTTTCAAAAAAGAAAAAAAAGAAAAAGAAAGAGACCCCTGGCTGCCCGTATAGCTGTGTAGTTTGAGAACCACTGATCCTGGGGCAAGGACTCAAAGTCTCTGGCTCTAGAAGTGGCTGGTGTGGACCTCAAGTGGACCCTGTTCCAAGGGTCCAAAGGACACATTTCAGGAAGCTGTGCTCTAAGCCTAAATGACCAACTTTGCCTTCACTTTGGACATATACAATCTGGTCATCTTCCTTGATTTCTGTTCTTTCCTCAGGCCTTCCAATTTCTTCGTGGGTGACCCCTCCTCACCAGTGCTTTGTTCCGAGTCAGCTCACCAGACCCAGCAGGCTGCCACTAAAGGTTTATTGTAAAACCTTGATTAATTCAGATAACCTTGAAATACTTACATAACATCACTGACAAATAGGAAAGGGACTACATTTCCATTGATAGAGACTATGGGCTAGAGTTGCTAAGGTCTGGAAAAAAGGCAGGAAAGTGAAGTATCTGGAGAAGCAGGGAGAGAAAGAGACTGGTGTTAAGAGAAAAATCACACCTTTTTCCTGCTTGCATCTTACAGTGGTTCTACCACCAGTAATGCAGGATCCCTCTGGTCTCTCTGAACACATTTTAGGACAGGCCCGCATTCGGAGCTGACTTTGTAACTTCTTACTGTATGTAATCTAGGTTCGAATGGGATCATCGTAGGTGTGTTTATGACCTTAACTGTAACAGCAATGAAATAAAAAAAAAATGGTTTAGTTTAATAATAGTGTTGTAAGAGTATAAGTTCCAATAGCTTCATGTACATTGTACAACCCAATAATAATTATGCTGACCATGTAAACAGCTCCCTCGTGTAGACTGAGACTCCATTGCCAAACATCAAGCATTAACAGCAAGTGCTAGAAAAATCAATAAGCCTTTACCCAGGGAACCAAAGATATGTGGGTTACTAAAACCCCTAACAGTTGCCCACAAAGAGTAATATCTCATTATTTTAATGCCAAAGGAGGTTTTCATTTCATTTCCTAAATAATAACAAGATCGCATATTAAGGGACAAGTTGATGGAGTGGTGAAATTCCTGGCAGCACAGACAAATCAATAAGAGGCTAAAATAAAAAGAAAAGAAACTTGTCTCTTGGCAGTCTATTTAGTTGAATTTCATAGACTGAGTTCTGATTCACCCTGGATTTTCTTTTCACACACCCACACTTCCCATTTCATGATGACACTTGTGCATCTGTTCTTCCTTTGATGGTAATTAACTCTTATTAACATTCATGAAGACTAAGTGTGGGCCTCTAGCACAGACGACATATTCAGACAACCACAAAAAGATAGGGTTTATAAAAACTAATGCATATTTGGAACCGAGGCCAAAAGATGGTCCACTCCAATAGTGCTGACATGCTTGAGAAATCCAAGGGGTGCTGACCCAATGTAAAAAGGATATAGGAGACAAACTTTACCATTGTATAATTTTGTCTTAGGCCAGTTCTGTTAAGTATAGCTTCTGAAATTCTGAATAGTCCTCTGCCCAGTGTGGTTTAATTGTTGGTGTTGTCAGGACTCTTGGGGAGAAGTCACCTTTCTTTTTTTTTTTTTTTTTTTTGATTCTAGCTCTGTCATCCAGGCTGCAGTGCAGTGGTGCGATCTTGGCTCACTGCAGCCTCTGCCTCCTGGGTTCAGGAGATTCTCCTGCCTTAGCCTCCGGAGTAGCTGGGATTACAGGTGTGCACTATTACACCCAGCTAATTTTTATATTTTTAGTAGAGACGGGGTTTTGCCATGTTGGCAAACCTCTGACCTCAAGTGATCCGTCTGCTTTGGTCTCCCAAAGTGCTGGGTTTACAGGCATGAGCCACCATGCCTGGCCTATTTTTTTTTATTTTTTGTATTTTCTTTTGGTAATTTTCTTTCTCTCTCTCTCTCTCTCTCTCTCTCTTCTTTCACAGGGTCTCACTGTGTCATGCAGGCTGGAGTGAAGTAGTGTGATCTTGGCTTACTGCAGCCTCAACCTCCCAGGCTCAATGCAATCGTCCCATCTCAGCCTCCCAAGTATCTGGGACCACAGGCATGCATCACCAGCCTGGCTAATTTTTGTATTTTTGGTGAGATAAAGTTTTGCCATGTTGCCCAGGTTAGCTTTAAATTCCTGGGCTCAACAGATCCACCTGCCTTGGCCTCCCAAAATGCTAGGACTACAGGCATGAGTCACCATGCCAGGCCAGGGTAATCTCTTTAAACACAGTTTTCTATAAAATTTTCTACATGGTCAGGAGACTTCAATATCTGATTTCTGAGCGCCATAGCTTCTTTACTGCCAAGGGAGCAAAGCATGATGACAATGACCATTTCTCATTTGTGTCCTTCATTATAGATTTTTCTAAATACACTTGCTCTTTGTTAATGACTTTAATTTGTTCCTGAAAACTCCACCACCAAGTTAAAAGCTATTAAGTGAAAAAATTCCATTAAGTTTTCAGAAAAAAATTTTTTTTTCTATGACACTACAAGGTACTTGAGTACTTTTCACAAAAAGAAGAATATACTAGTTAAACTGAAAAAAAGCTAATAAAAGTAATGTACAATAATTCGAAAGTATTCTGACCCCAACTGGTATATTGAAATTCAATTCTTGCACTAACTAGGGTTAGAGAAGACCCCACAAGTTAAAGGGCATGATCCCAAACGAGGTTGTCCTCACTTTTGATGCCAGTCACA